CCAATGGATTAAATTAAAGGAAAAGAGGTAGCTAGTGAGGTATCTCATTAATTGACTGGATCAATAACCCCACCTAAGTAATAAAGCTGCACTTGTGAAGGGGGGGTTAAATGAAGTTCAAATGGGGTAGTTATAATGAAGAAACCAAGATTCATTTGTACTTATTTAACCTAGATCATGTATGTACGTTAAGAACTGGTACTTTTGATACTCATAATGAAATCACTTTTTTCGCTATTGTAAGAGGAAAATATGAAAATCAGGACGTCCAGATGTTAGGACATCCATCATAACCGTTAAATAAGTGGATCTTTGATTAAGACCCATGAAACTAATGGTCGTAATGGACGTTTTGAACGTCAAAACGTTTTGATTTTCTACAATCCCATTGAAAAAATATGTAAATGAGATTGCAGAAAATCAAGACATTTCTGACAATTATATACCAAACATGCCCTTAATGAATTAATATAAAAGAAAGATTCACTAATGATATTTAAATAATTTTATAAGAAATTCTGGCATTTTAAATATAAGAATGTTTTTATTTTTACTTTTTCTATATATATATAGATAATTATTGGTACACCTTCACTTTAATACACTCTATAATATACTCACTAAGAAACTATTATTTTTAAATTTAAATTCAAAATGGGAAAACTTTCAACTATAAGTTTTAATAAATGAATTAGTAACTATTGATTGATGTATTGAAATAGAGAGTATGTTAATCATTTTCCATATATACACCCTAGAGAAATATTTATCAAATGAACTTTTAAAAAATGAGGTGAAAAACAAATTAAAATTAAATTATCTTAATAAACTTTAGTTAGAAAAAAAGACTAAAATAACCAATTCTTTAAAGTAGAAATCGTGAAACTATTTTGGTTTTTTTTTTTTTTTTTTTTAACCAATTCTTTAAAGTAGAAATCGTGAAACTATTTTGTTTTTTTTTTTTTTTTGAGAAAATAATTTGGACACCTTCCAATTCAAGACACTTCATATTACACTTATAAAAAAAATTAGGTTTAAGTACCATTTTGGTCCCTCAACTTTCCACTTTGGCACTAAAATTGTCCTTCAACTTTAAAAAGTACCAAAATTATCCTCATACTTTCATTTTCGGTACCAAAATGGTCCTTCCATCAATTAAATGACAGGTGGCACGTTAAAATGCTAGCAAATCAATTCTCTTTTTTTCTTAACTAATGACATGAAAAAAAAAAAAACATAGTTGGCATTTTTTTTTTGTGAGTTGGCATTTTCATTTAATTTTAAAATAATAATTCTTTTTTTTTTCACCCACGTCAGATTTCTTCTTCCTCTTTCATTTTCTCTCTCCTTTACCCTTCCTTTTCTCTTACCTCTGCAAACCTAGATCTAGGTTCTCTCTCAAACTTCATCTTCTTTCTCCTTTCCTCCTTACTTTCCCTGCTCATCTCTCTCTCTCTCTCTCTCTCTCTCTCTCTCTCTCTCTCTCTCTCT